CCTGTCTCTCCCCCGGGGTTCCGCAGGGCTCGATGTGGTGAAGAGGAAGGGCGCGGACTTGAGAGTCAGGTAGACCCATCTGGGCTCACATCCTAGCTCCTCCACTTAGCACGTGAGCGGGACCTTAGGGAAGGCAGTTCTGGTCCCTGAACCTCAGTTTCCTCATCTGTCACATGGAGCTCGGCTGTTCATCCTACAAATACTGAACATCGGCTGCGCAGACACCATGCACTAGGTATACGGCAGTGAGCAAACTGTGTGAGGGGAGGGTACCTTCCTTACAGGTAAACACCTGTACCAACCTTCCAATAGTGTCTCACGTAGAATTGTCACTTAGTACATGAGGGGTATTGTCGTCGTTTCCTTCTACCCCAAGCCTTAGTCTTTCTTGCTCCAAGCCTCACCCACAGTGGGTTTATTGTCCATCTTTTATTCAGCCTGTGTGTCTCCTTTCCCTAAACGGGCCATAGAGTCCTTTATGGCATGGATTAAGACACCTGTTTTGTATTCCCCACAGCACTGAGCCCAATGGCTGACTCAGTGTACTCATTAATAAGTGGTTGAATGGATGCGTGCGTGCATACAGCTCAGCACTTCGGAATGTGAAAGAAAACCTGAAGTAATTCTCAGCCCAGTTGCTGGGATAACGAAGACTGGCCTCCCGCGGTGGCTGGTGTGGAGGTCCAGCAGCCCTGGAGGAGCCAAGAACGCATTTCCCAGGCTGTTCTCATTCCCACCGAGAATTATAATCACAGCGAGGCCAAGACCAGCACGCACAGACAGGTGTACCCCCACGCACCCGCAGAAGGGTATTTTACAGGCATCGATCCTGGGGACGCGCTCACTCCACTCCCATCAGCCAGTGGCAGAGGGTTGCAGATCTTTATTCCTAAACTCAGAACAAGACAGATCCAGAGCTCAATAGAAGGAAAGAAAAAAGTCAAGCGACTTGAAGAGTTCACAGAAAGGCATACAGAAGCCCTTGAAAAATGCTCGGTCTCACTTTTTTAGAGAAATGTGAGCTTAGTCGTGCTGCCTTATCGTTTTTTACCCAACGATGGACAAGGGGGCAGGTTTGACAACGAGTCGATCTGCTGAAGGTGTGGGGAGACGGGCTGCTGGGGATGAAGTAGGTTCAGCCTCACCGGGGGACAATTCAGTGTCACGCATCCTAGTAAGAAATGGAAAGCCCTTGGAGCCGGCACTTTTACGGCGTGACATGTTGAAAGTTGCTCGCGGTCCTCAGGGTATGATGGGAAGCTGCTCGTGGGAGAAAAGGCGTGGAGAGATTTTTCCCTGGGCACTCTTTGGAACCTTTTACATTTGTTCTACGTGAATGTATTACCCATTCAAACAAATACACACAGTTCCAGAATTCAGAAGAACTTTAAGCCTAAGGGGGAAAAACACCTTGTAAAAGCAAAGCCACATTGGTGAATGGGTACCAAGTTTCGGTTGTGAGGATGACATGATTCTGGGGATGGACGGTGGTGATGGTCACACAACAATGTCAGCGCACTTGATGCCACCACCCTGGTCTGCTGGGGGGCTCAGTCGATCAAGCGTCCTACTTGGGCTCAGGTTATGATCTCACGGTTCGTGGGTTTGAGCCCCACATCTGGCTCTACGCTGACAGCTCAGAGCCTGGGGCCTGCTTTGGATTCTGTGTTTTGCTCTCTCTGCCCCTCCCCTGCTCATGCGCGCTCTCTCTCTCTCGCTCTCTCTCTCTCAAAAATAAATAAATGTTAAAAAATTTTTTTGAACGGTAACAATGGTCAATGTTACGTTCTGTATATTTTACTACAAAAGAAATAGTTTGAAAACAAAACAAGCACATGAGACTGAATCATGAGGCCACATTCAATGCCATCATTCGGAAGACTGCCACACTGTGAAAACGCAGGGGCCTAGACCACTTGAACTCTCTATGAATAGTCCTGACTGAGTATAATGTTATTGTTCTTAATAAAGGAACTTCATTCACTGTAAAAGTAAATTGCAAGTAACTTTCTTTGTGAGTTTCTATGAAAACACGATGCAGGAAAAAAAATCCTTTGCCCTACTACATGAAATTGAGTTTTGCCTTAAAAAAGAACGTGACCTTGGTGGGGCACCTGGGTGGCTCAGTCGGTTAAGTGTCTAACTCGGTTTCGGCTCAGGTCATGAAATCAAGGTTCATAGGATGGAGCCCCGTGTCAGGCTCTGTGCTAACAGCACAAAGCCTGCTTGGGATTCTCTGTCTCCCTCCCTCTCTGTCCCTCCCCTGCTCTCGCTCTCTCTCTCTCAAAAATAAATAAATAAATAGACATCTTTTTAAATGTGATCTCGGGAGACCTGGGTTGCTCAGTTGGTTAAGTATCTGACTCTTGGTTTCACCTCAAGTCATGATCTTGTGGCTCATCAGTTTGAGCCCCACATTGGGCTCTGTGCTGACATTCCAAAGCCTGCTTGGGATTCTCTCTCCCTCTCTCTGCCCCTCCCCTGCTTGCTCTGTCTCTCTCAAAATAAATAAACTTTAAAAAATTAAATTAAAAACGTGATCTTCGTGATGACTACATTCAGAATGAAATGGCTCATCCCAAAACATAATGTACACTCTAAATTATACTAGAAAGCCCTAGCAAAACTGGCCTAGATTACCCAAAACAGTGAATTTAGTCAATATATTTCATCAAGAACTCAGTTAAAAATGCAATGGATAGATACACAGAGTGGAAATCATAAAATATGCACTCTATTTTATTGCAAAATGTATCCAAAAAGTGCATCCGTATAGATCATGATAAAGAGAATTATTCTATGTTCAGTGATAGAGATGAATGAATTGAATGAACAGAGAAACAGCTATGTGCCTTCCACATTCATTTTTAGAAAGAGATCCAGACACACACGCGCGCGCGCGCGCACACACACACACACACACACACACGCAATGTTCCCTGCTGGTCAAGAAATAAGCTCCAGTGACCCACACCACTGAATTCTAACTCCCCGCTAATTCACACCTCTATGTAACTATCACATTAAATTAATACCCTGAAGACTGTTGACTCCAGTCAAATTGTAACTATCTGCCTCCCCGACTACACCAGGCTCCTCAAAAGCAAGAACAGTTTTTTGTTCACCCATTCCTCAGTGCCTAGCCCCTGAAGGAGGATTTCATCTTTGCTGAATGGAAGTGAATTTGAACCCGAAATTCTTTCCAGTCCAGTATAACTATGGTCTTATCAGCTCCCTGACTTCAAGTCCGAGTAGAGCACGCAGTCCTTTGTCCGTAAGCTCCCAACAGGTTTTACAGGGCAGTGTCACTTTCTTGCAAGCCTTATTTTAGTAGCAATATTTCATATCATGATGTCACTTTGGGATTTAGATCATCTGACCTCAAACGACATACATATCAGCCCATTGGTAACTGCTGCTCTTGATAAAACAGCAAATCTCTACTTCTGGCTCCTTATCATTTGACAGATTCAGTATTTGGAAGCTTAACTAGTTCCTAAGGGGGAAAAACACCACCTGCCATAAAACTATTCACTCAAGGTCATGACCATCCCTTTTTACTGCTTCTCATGTAGCTGAACGCGTGGCTGGATGCCAAGCAAACATGTAATGTGATCCAATGATAAGTAGGTACTTTGTTCAGAAGCTTTTCACTGACGAGATGACAGTCTAATACACCCTTAGTTTTCTGTCCCCACAACCGATTTGTTAGGGAATTCCTGCTCTGTCTTTAATCCACACATGTTCGTGGGGATTTTTCTTGTGAGTAGGGATTCTAGAACTAGAAGGTTCTTTGATGACATGTGGAAGACAAGACACTGCCACCGGCTTCTAATTAACTCTAATTAACGTACAAGCCAGGATCTCGGGAAGGATGATGGGGAGTGAGGCCTCTCTAGGCCGACAGCGCTCGCAGCACCTGCTCTGAAAGCCCAGAGGGCAAACCCCACAGTAGCACAGAGGTCTCTGGAAAGTTACCTTCCTGAGGGATAGACACCTGGGGCCGCTCTTCATAATGCTCACCCTTTGGAAGCGGCTGTCGCATCGAACCTGGCTTTCCCGCCTTGTCTCGGCAGCCTGCTCACATCCCAGTAGAATTACCGCCTTCGGACTCGTATAAGGCCTAGTCCCTGTGAGAACGTCACCCCCGGGGGTGGGTGGCTACCCGGTCTGTTGCAGTTACTGCGGAGCCCATGTCTAGCACGGGGCAGTGTCTGGCATCGCAGAGGTGGCCCCTATTTTTATGAACAGCCAGAGGTCCGGGCCAACCAAGGAAGCCTGCTGAATCTGACAGCTCTGCATTAAGGAACTTGGTTGAGACCCGAGAGGACAATAGTATTTCACGGCATAAACAAGCAGTGCGGCTCTCTCCCTAGATTTACCTAGTAGAGAACTGAGAACTGCCTGTTTTGTTCTCTATAAAATGATTTCCTTCTGCCAATGTTAGTGCAGCGCTTGCTGTCAGAAACAGCAAATGGCCTTGTTTGTATATGGCCTAAATCTAAAGGGGAGAGAGCTAGGGGCGCCTGGCTGGCTCAGTCTGTAGAGCGTGCGGCTCTTGATCTCAGTGTCCTGAGTTCGAGACCCACATTGGGTGTAGAGATAAATAAATAAACTTGATTATAAAAAATAAAGGGAAGAGCTGGTGTCCTGTGGCACAGAGCATTTACTCCCTGAGCCTCCACTGCCATCTGTACTCCCTATCTCCCCCCAGTACCATTTACATCCCCTGTGTGTGTTTCCTAATCACTTCCTGTGTATTTTACAGACATACTTTCTATTTGCTACTTGTAAGTCCTTGCAAATAGAATTCCCCTTCTCCCGGAGCTGTCAGAGTGGGCACTCAATAAATGTTTGGGGAACAGATTCATGCACTGTTTCCCGAGTTGCCCTCTAGATAAGAGCTGACAAATGTCAGCATAGAGCCAGTGTTAGAAGCTGGGTGGCCTATAATCCCAGTTTTTCCTGGGCATTTCCAATGCAGTGAATGACAAATACCATAATATAAGAAAATGGTTTTATTCCTAATTTTTAGTTCCCATACAGTTTACAAATACACGTTTCCTCTGATAATACGGCTTTGCAACTAGCAACGCAGTTGAACTAACACCCATAAATATAGGTGGGAGACCATTAACGTCCACTGATGTTTCTCTACATAAACTATTCTTTTCACGTCATTTGTTTTAAACAATTGCAAACAGACTACATAATACGTGGGCAAAAAAGGCAATTAAGTGAATCTCTTGAAACACTAAATGTATAATAAACAGTGCATATTATCCACATTTACATGATTCACATCAAAATGATGACATCCTAAAATGTATTCCTTTTAAAGGATAGATTTATCAATAAAATATTACATATCTTTTAATACTCTGGTACAATACTTCATATGCTGCAGGAAAATTAAATGTAGATCTAGTCATCAGCTTAAAAAAGGATCCTTTTCCATTAGCTTTTATTAATAAAAGAATCACAATTATGTCATAAATAAACAGGCAAATTATTAATTACATGATTTGAGGTTTAGGATGAAAACTTGTAGAAATTAGTTTGATATACAGTAAAGTTATACAACACACTAAAACCAACTGTTTAATATCTTTGCCTTGTGTGAACCGCCCATAGTGGAAAAGAAAAGAGCAAACTTTTTAATGATGGAAGATACAATAAACTAGATTTTGGAACTTATTTTTCAAGAGGAGGAGGGAGAAAGATTTCAACAAAATTAAGGGCTAATACAGATCCTGATAAAGGCATCTTGAAATCAGGGAGGCCCTGTGCTTGCTATATAAAACGTGATTCCCCCAACCACACACAGAAAACGGAAACTGTTCTGGGTGTGCACTGACATCTATAGTCTAAGTTGGCCTTATGGATTAATAAGCTACAACGAAACACAACTGCATACCTGTTCACCTTCCCCTGAACTAGGAATAACCCAGAATGTTATATCAGTTCTCCAGATCCCCAGTAAAATAACCCCTAAAAATAATCTCGATAATCCTCTTGGCTGTTGCAAAGCCACTGGGCTCCGTGAAGCACAAACAAACCCCAAGAAGTCGAAACAAACCCCAAGAAGTCGTATGTCTTTTCTCGCCCCCGTTTAGCCGCGTCTGAAAAGTCACTGATTTCAGTGGGAGAGAGGACCGTAATTTTCAGGAGGGACACATACTGGATATGAGCTGTCTTTTTATTTGTTTAAAAAAAAGCTATTAAGACTCCGAAATTTGGCTTTTTAGAAAAAACCCTAATGCCAAGGGTCAGATAAATTTCTTCACCCCAAATATAACACCCTATCCTATGCTTATAACTTTAAACTCCTCAACCAGCCATGGGATACTGTGCAAATTTAATGTCTACCGGTAACCAGAAGCAGACTGCACGCATGTATCTATCACACCTACCTTCCGGGTGACCCGATGCGACACCAAGCGTGGACTGCTCCAGCCCTGGGCCCTTCGACTTCCCACAAACCACCTCTTTGGAACTCTCATTTCCACTACTTTTTAACACGTGCACCTCAAGCGCCCCACATCTTCACAGCTCTCCCTTCCTGATTCCATCTTGTGGAGAGTGATCTCATCTGAGAACCTACCATCACCTCTCACCAAACACATAACAGACCTTAGCAACCTAGGGACTATCACAATCTTGTCTTGGCAGAAGTTTACATAACGGGATGGTTTGCAGACGTCGTGGAGGGAAAGCTAAATGAAATCTATGTCCGGTAACGAAAAAAGCCAGCTGCGATCAGGCGTTTCTGTCCCAAGTACAAAACAACTTAATCTTGAGCTACAGGCAGAGACGTGAATGCAGCAGGTATATTTGTACAATCGAACCCTTGTATGCTGGTGAAAGACTTTGCCCCCAAAGTCCAGAGTCTAAACTATACCACCAAATCCAGGCAAACAAGAACGATTCAATGTGGCGGTGCAGCAGAAAGGACAGGATTCAAGATCCTTGCTGCAAACACTGAACTGGAATCTTTCTTTACAGGCTTGACAGGAGTCATTTACATTCCTCTGAGGAGGTAATCCCCTCTGGGCCACACCTGTGTTCTAAAGCAATTCTAGGTTCAAGGGATGGGGGGCAAGAAGGGGTGGAGTCAATGTGCATGCTGTCTGCGAAAATGGCAGCGGAGGCTCTCCCCCAAGCTTCCTCAGGGCTTCATGGGAGGTAAAGACCTCAGGAAGGAAGCACTAGCAGGGCCACACCTAGTCCTTCCTTTCGAGCCAAAGCAGGAAGGAAGAATCTGAGTTAACGAGACCGTGACCTAAGGGCAAAGCTGCCACAGCGGTTTATCATCTTTACGAAGTCAACCAATGACACTTTAATTGAAACGCACTCACTGAATGATGATTCAGCACGGGGCAAAGAGGGTGTCTCTGGAGAAGGCACTTCGGGTAGAACGGTAGCAAATCTCACTGCTTGGCTACAACGAAAATGGGTGACTGCTAATTCGATTGGATCGGCAGCCTCGCGAGGAGGCCCCCCGCTTGGCTACGGTCTGGCTGAGACCACTGGGGTGGAGAAAGCACCCCGGTCGCCTCCCCCTGCGGGTGCCATGGTGACAAGGTGGTTCTGCCCCCTAAACACATCCATCCTTACGAGAGGGGTCTCCCAGGTGACGCTCCAAGCCAGCAGAAAGTTCAGGAAGTCCTAGAAGGCCCCCGTCTTTCACTTGGACTCCCGCTTACATGAGCTGCTATAAGCAGCTTCGATTTCCCAGCGTCACCAGCAGCCTCTATTTTGCTAACTATTGCTGTCTTCCCGTGACACTGATTGTGACAGTTGGTTACCCTGTGGGGCCCCCCGAGAATCCCGCCTCGACTTCATGCCCCCGTGCCGGTCCCCTCTTGCGGAATCTGGGCTGGGCTCATGACTTGCCTGAATCAACAGAAGGCAGCAGACGTTCTGGGTTTAAGTCTTCAGAAAGTCTGGCATCTACTGCTTTATACCCCTGGGGGCTCTGAGCTGCCCCGGCAGCGGCCCAACAACCCGGCTGGCGAGGCCACCTGAAGCGGCCACAGGGAAGGGGGCCTGAGGGCCTGCACGGAGGGCCTGGCCACCCAGTGGCCAACCTGCCCACCGCATGGGCAACACCAGTGAGAGCACAGCAACAGCTGGACTGAGCCCGGCCCAGACCGAAGAACAGTGAAGAGGAAGGAAAGAAGAGAAAAGAAAAAGGAATTGTGTTAAGCCGTTACGTTTCGGGATGGCAGATCGCCGACAATCTGTAAGCACGACGCTGCTGGGTTGTCCACAGATGCGGGTTTTTGTTTCTGTTTTTTTCCTGAATACAAGACAATCACTCAAATGAAAAGAAAATATGACAAACATTTCCCACCACATCCTTCTCAGTCAACAGGCTGAATGGTAATTGGTCATCTGCGACGAAGAAAACACACCTTTTATCTTAAGTCTCCATGATTCTTTTTTCCCCATGATCTTTTTTAATGGCAATGCAAAAGTGGGCAGATTGTCGACTTCCGACAGTCTGGGGCACTGGCTTAATTATCATTTAGCCAAAAAAAGAGGCCATCAAATGAATTCCCCACTGCTGGGTAAGCAGTGGTCCAGAACCTGTTCTCGCTCCCACGGTATGCCATTACCTTTCCCAAAAGGATTTTCCTCTTACAAGTGCTTGTCATCCCCCACAGAGAGAAGAACAATTGAATTCTTAAGATTATAGGAAGGGGAAAGAAATGCCAATAAGTAGAATTTGAATCACCATCATCTGGCAAATATAGAGCACAATTTAACTGCTTCCTCGATTTAAAATAAAATTCTATAAAATAGAACACTGTCCACATTGTAGAGATGATTTCTTCGTATGTGAGGAAATGAGCAATTGGTAATCAGGTACTGTGGAGTTAGAATACAGTGGTCTTTAAAGGGTTTTCAATTTTGTTTCTCCAAAGGTAGTCAACCGTGACACAAGCCTTCCAACTTCAAATTCGTTCTTTGTACAAACTTTCTTATATCTGTTCTTGATCTTTTTAGGGAGAGGGTGAGAGTCCACATCTGGGGAAGAAAGAAGTGAGAATTTTTAAGAAGCATGCCATATAAAAGTTTCTCAAGGCATTATGCGATTTTAAAGTAGATTTAATGCTTTTAAATGCACTAACCATTAAAATGGGAATTTCAACATACAATATTGAACCTGTGAGTTTCCAACACACATCACACACCTGGGTCGTCGTCTACAAAGGTGACCGACAGGGATGTGGAGGGGAGCGGGGCGGGGGCCCCGGGAGGCCAGCATCCTGTGTCACACAGCCAGTCAGGGGCCAAGGGGGATGAGAACCTGGGCACCCTGACTCCAACCATCCCGGGTCCCCGCAGATCGCCCCGGGCACAGCTCAGGTAAACAACTCTAACACAAATGCAAGCAATGGGGACACCTGATCACTAACAGTGACATCTCTGCACAGTAAGTGCCAGCTGTGCACCTTGCAGACCTAACCCTGCATTTGGTTCCAAGCCTTAATGAACTCTAAAATAAATCCAGCTGAGAAAAAAGTTTCAGAAGAGAAAAAAGAGGCTGGTTTGCAAAACTCAATTATGGTACACTTTGCTAGGACACTTACAATTTAGCTGCCTGCTTAAAAAACGTCACAAGTGATAGAAACAACTAAGGAGCACTTCCATTTAAATACCTATTTCTGGGGCGCCTGGGGGGCTCAGTCAGTCAAGCGACAGCCTTCGGCTCAGGTCATGATCTCACGGTTCATGGGTTGGAGCCCCGCGTCGGAGTCTGTACTGACATCCTGGAGCCTAGAGCCTGCTTCAGATTCTGTGTCTCCCTCTCCCTCTGCCCCTCCCCAACTCGTGTCTGGCTGTCTCTCTCTCCCTCTCTCAAAAATGAGTAAACATTAAAAAAAATTTAAATACCGATTTCTGTGCTGAAGTCTTGGTGAGTCGTCTCATCTGAAACTCTTCTGCTGCTGCATCAGACCCACGTTTTCATAAACTCTAGCATTATCTTCTCTCATTCTGAAAAGAAAAAAAAAGCATCAATAAAAACGCAGACCACACTCTGCAAGCTTACGTGGCACTCACAAAGCACACACCACGTTCTTTGGGGACCAGCTACGGTGCAGACACAGCCCCCAGGAGCTAACCCCCCCAGGACAGGCTGTAAGACATCAACATGCAGCACTATCAAGCTAAACATGAAATAAGGACCTTGAGTCCCTGTGCTCTCTGGGGTTGGAGGAAAACAAGGCATCTTCCTCACGGGCAGAGCAAGGGAGGCCTGTACGATTAGGCCTTTGAGTAAGACCTTGAAGCGGGGAGACTTGTGCACATACAAAGGACAGATATTAATTTCAAGCAGAGGGAGAGCTTGGGCAAGAGCAGTGTGGTGGGGACTATCCTTCCATCCGGCCCCGACTGCAGCTACAAGGAGGGAGCATTAAGGGTGAGGCTCAGTGGTGGTTTAGGATGAAGGGCCAGTACATCGGAGGCCAGACTCCATTCTGCTGAGCAGGGAATGGAGATGAGAGCAGTCCGGGGGGGAACGGGTGACCCAGCCAGCCTGGGTGGGACAAGATGAAACAAGCAGAAGGGGCCCAGGGTCTGGGGCATCCTGGGTTTGCGCCCTACACACAATATGATGCGAGCGGAGATGCAGAGGGCCTGTTGCACAGGCAGGCCACTGGTAAAGGGATTGGCAGAGTTAACGCATTCTGTCTGGCGAGGACTCAGAGCCCTGGCAAGCTGACGCCGCTGCACAGGACTGCAGGTAGCAATTTAAAACATCAACCTTCCCCATCAGTCCACTGGGGAAGGAAAAAGCAGGCAGAAGGAAGAGGCAACTTGGTGGAGAGAATGCTTTCGCTGTATAATTTCATTTCAATGTTAACTACAAACCCAAGGTAAATACAAGCCTCATATTTGCTATCTAAAACGTTTATACAGAGCATTAAAGTCAGCAGGGGTTTAAAAATCCACATCAGAAGCAAATAGAGAGAAGACTCTTGGGGGGGAAATAAAAAGTAAATGTTATACCAGAGACTGACTTCAGAATATATAGAAAAACAATAACTTACAGCTGCTGTTCACATAATGATTTAACAAACATTTTCCTAACACATGTTTTTAGCTTACACACTAATAGGAGTGGGCAAAGTTTTTCTGTAAAGGAGCAGAGGGTAAATAATTTAGTTTCTGCAGGCCAGACTCAGTCTCAGGCATATACGATATTCTTTGTGATGCTTTTTTGTTGTTGTTGTTTTTTAATATAATCTTTTAAAAACCATTCGTGAGTTGTGCAAAAACAGCCAGAATTTGGTCTGGGGGTGGCAGTTTGCAGACTCCTGGTTTAAAAGCCCAAAGTAGATTTCTGTTGTCTGCTGACTGTGGAAAATTAGCAGAATGTGTCGGTACTGAAACATTAACAGTCACTTTATTTACTTGGCAAAGGGTCTCAACACATCAGAAGGGGCGATACCTACCTTCGCTGTCTATCACTAATGGATGTCGTCCCCACCCCATCAAAAGAAAAACTCAAATTTTTCTTAGAGAACCATTACCTGACATACTTGTGACTTCAAATACTCGTAACCAGTACACCAATCGTCTTACTGTTTAGGTAAATTAAAATTCTGTTTATTTAGAAAGCTGATACACTCGCCAATCGGCTGGGCCACAATCATGGGCACCAATGAGGCGTACGCTGCACAGACCTGTTGATGTTGAAGCTTTTCTACGGGACTGTGTTCAGACAGAAAGGATTTCCTTTGCTCCTACTTACTCTGCACAGGATGGTGTTGGAGTACAAGGCGGGAGGGGACTCTGATCTCCGCTTGTCTGGTCCGTCAGAGAATACTTAATATTTGTATATTCGTGCCCTTTCCTCTTGCTTTTCTGAAAGGTAAAGATTGCATAAATGAGGAACTGGACTTCTTTGAAAAGAATAAAGAAACAAAGGTGGCATTTCACCAGAGAGAGACGGGCAGACAGGCTGGACCCTGTATGTTGATCAAATGTTAGGGAATTCACCTCCTTGCTGAAAACGCAGCACACAAGTGAAAAGTACTTTTGGACCTTCCAATTCAAAAGCACAGAGTCATGCATTAACAACTCACTGTATTAAACTGAACGTATCTATTTCTGAGCTTAAGAGAGAATTCACACTTTCTTTGCCACATTAACATCTAATCATTTCATAGTTCACTTGCAACACATTTAATGATTCTCAGATAAACAGTTGGGAAAAGGTTCCAGAAATAAACCCACTGCAAGTAAAAATGGCACACAGGTAACAACGATGGCAGCACTCTGAACAGAAACAGTAACACGCCTTATCATACCTTCCCCGCCTCCCACCCCCACCCCAGGAAAGACCCTGGCACCTTTAAAACGTTATTTTGGGTTCCAATGATACTTTGAAAAAAATAAATAAATTGGCAAAGAAAACCAGTAAAATATAATCTGATCTCAGATGCAAAGTGAACTATACTTGGGAGGAGTCCCAGTTAGATGATTTGTCACTCTTCGCTCCTAAAGTCACCTAAAGACAACCAATTCTGAAAATCTAACCCACCAAGATATCATCATCAAATAATGTTGCCTTTATTCTAGGATATTCAAGAAAAACAGCAAATATCACCAAGGATATCCACATCAAACACTGATGTACAGTGACTTTCCTTCACTGCCGGTGAGAGGGTAAACTGGTGCACAATTAGTCAGAACTGCAAATACTAACCAGTTAGTATCTAGTGATAATAAAATATATCCTGCAGGGGCGCCTGGGTGGCTCAGTCGGTTAAGTGTCCAGCTCTTGATATCAGCTCAGGTCATGATCTCACAGTTTTGTGAGTTCGAGCCCCACGTCGGGCTCTGCGTCCTCACAGAGACTGCTTGGGATTCTCCATCTCCCTCTCTCTGTGTCTCTCCCCTGCTCACACTCAATCAATCAATCAATCAATAAATCCTGCAACCTTGAACTTTTGCTTCTTGAGAAACTATACATATAAGCCTAAAAGAGCTATACAAGTATGTCCAGTGACGTTATTCTTCATAATGTCAGCAAGAGAATGAATCAACTTGATGTACTCAGATCATGAAATAATATGCAACAGTGAAGAGGCACAATGGAAAGACTGTGTGTGTGTGTGTGTGTGTGTGTGTGAGAGAGAGAGAGAGAGAGAGAGAGAGAGAAAGAGAGAGAGAGAAAACAGGCCTTATAATCACTGGGAAGTGGAAAAACACAAATTATAGAACAATAAAACAGTATGATCCTATCTGGCTAAACAGAATGTTTAAACATATAAAGCAATGTTACAACTGGTATTTGTGCTGTAAAATATACAGAAGACTGCAAGCCCAGCGACTGCCCTGGGGTTCCAAAGGCAGGACTGAGACGTGCGGGGCTGCCAGCTGTACCTGCCACATTTGATTGCTGTTATAAAGGGAAAAAACACTTGGAAGAAATGGGATAAAATAAAATGGTTGATTATAGATATAATACTAATATTTAAATTTTTTTGAATAGAACATAAAACAAGTTTAAATCCACTGGCGAAGCTTCTTCTTGCTCTCCTGACTCAGAACTTACCCTAAAACAACAGCTAATGAAAAGTAGAAAATCTTATTTGACGTACAAGAATTGTTAGAACTCTAACCTATAAACTATAAAGCATCTCATCCAGTGTGAACCTGGGACCAACATCTAAAGGAGGGGGGACAGCCTAAAGGACACACTGACTCTTCACAGAAAACGCTCGATGTTAGCAGGTAGCCAGCTGCTTGCTGTCCACTTCCTCGTGCTGTCTGCAACCGTGTGCAAAAGGAAACATCCTAAAGGGCAGTAGGGAGACAAGATGCAAAGTGCCTGGGCCCTTGGATGACCTTGGATGAACAGAGCTGCCCACTTCCTCCCTAAATTGCCTGCCAACTCGGATTTTTATGTTAGAAGAGAAATCAGCTTCTATCTCGTTTAAGTCCCTATTATTTAGCCTCCGTTAAAGCAGCTCAACCAATTTATTAACTGATCAAGCAGCCGTTACATAACTTAGACTCTAGGGAAGCAGTTGCAAAAACAGGAATCCAAAGAGAAAATGTTTTGTTTACTCGACACAGTATTTTAATGTTTTGAAAAACTGTTTTTGAAAATCTAAAGGCTGGGGCACCTGGGTGGCTCAGTAGATTGAGAGTCCAACTTAGGCTCAGATCGTAATCTCATGGTTGGTGAGTTCGAGCCCCATATTAGGCTCGCTGAGGTCAACACAAAACCTACTTCAGATCCTCTGTCCTCCTCTCTCTCTGCCCCTCCCCACCTCGCTCTCGCTCTCTCTCTCTCTCTCTCTCAAAAATAAACCTTTGAAAAAATCTAAAGGCCTTAGGGGCGCCTGGGTGGCTTAGTCGGTTAAGCGTCCGACTTTCGCTTGGGTCATGATCTCGCGGTTCGTGGGTTCGAGCCCCGCGTCGGGCTCTGTGCTGACTGCCAGCTCAGAGCCTGGAGCCTGTTTCAGTCTGTGACTCCCTCTCTCTCTGACCCTCCCCTGCTCATGCTGTCTCTCTCTCCTAGAAATAAAAAAAAAAAAAAAAATCTAAAGGCCTTGAAACACAGGCACAGACTTTTAGCACTGAAATACTGACTTATATAAGAAACAGTCTTTTAAAAAATATAATTTAGGGGCGCCTGGGTGGCTCAATCGGTTAAGCATCCGACTTCGGCTCAGGTCATGATCTCGTGGTTCGTGGGTCTGAGCCCTGCGTCAGGTTCTGTGCTGGCAGCTCAGAGCCTGGAGCCTGTTTCAGATTCCGTGTCTCCCTCTCTCTCTGCCCCTCCCCCACTCATGCTCTGTCTCTCTCTGTCTCAAAAATAAATAAACTATTAAAAATTTTCTTTTTTAAATATAATTTAAAATGAAATATTAAGTGGAAGACTTGACAAAGAACAGCTCTTATTTTAAAACTCGTTCTGGGGGTGCCTGGGTGGTTCAGTCAGTTGAGCGTCTGACTCCCGGTTTCAGTTTAGGTCATGATCTAATTTGGCTCAGACAGTGAGGGGCCTGCTTGGGATCTCTCTCTTCCTCTCTCTCTGCTCCTCCCCGACTTGTGCTCTCTCTTTCAAAATAAACAAATAAACTTAAAAAAAAATAAATAAATAAGAAACTTATTCTGGAGTTGAAAAATCTTTATCTTTTTTTTTTAATGTTTTATTTATTTCTGAGAGAGAGAGAGACAGCGTGATCAGGGGAGGGTCAGAGAGAGAGAGGGAGACACAGAATCCAAAGCAGGCTCCAGGCTCTGAGCCACCTGTCAGCACAGAGCCCGACACAGGGCTCAAACTCACAAACCGTGAGATCATGACCTGAGCTGAAGTCAGATGCCCAACCGACTGAGCCACCCAGGCGCCCCAATCTTTACCTTTTTCTAAATAAAAAATTTAAATATACAATCAATACCTTGAAGCATAAGCTTGCTTTCTACTCAACACATTTTTTTTTAATTGTGGGAAATGAAAAAGAACATATGATAAGATAATGCTCTTAGACAAAATTTTGAGTGTACACAATACCATTAAGCTCTTTTTTAAAAATGTTTTTATTTATTTTTTGAGAGAGAGAGTCAGAGCATGACCAGGGGAGGGGCAGAGAGGGAGGGAGACATAGAATCCGAAGCAAGCTCCAGGCTCTGAGCTGTCAGCACAGAGCCCGACGCGGGGCTCGAACTCACAAACTATGAGATCATGACATGAGCCAAAGTAAGATGCCCAACTGACTGAGCCACCCAGGTGCTCCCAAACCTTCAATTTTAAATACCTGTCTTTAATAAGAAGAACCAGGGTTCCACAGAAAAACAGCCAATTCAAAGGCTAGGACAGGGAACAGAGAAGACGAGCTGGAGCATTCTGCACGCCAGAAAGTGAGCAAGTGGGACATGGACACGTGAAAGGGACACAGGGGCCACTCTGAAAAGGCTCCCAGTGCCCAAAGCTGCAACAATTTGAGCAACAAATTAAATAGCATAGTATTGGATTATAACCCCAAGTAAACAATAAATATACATGGGCCCATACACATATAAATAAATAACTGCTTGATAAATAAACAGAAACAAATCTTCCTCACAAAGGAATTCTTAATAAGTTATGTTCCAGAATAAAAGATGGAGCTTAATTCCCCTTCCTTTGGGTACGGTCTGCACTAAATGACTCGCTTCCAAAGAACGGAATAAGGAAAGGGAAAAAAGAGTCATTTACAGTGAGAGAAATCTGGAAGACACTACCTGAGGCAAGGGATGAAGGTTAATGTCCCCAGAATATGTTGTTATCAGGTGCCCCTTGAGTGAAGAGAAGGGCACCCCCAAATGACCTTGTTACTCCTCTGCCCCAAAATCCATCACCCCCGTCGAGACAGGAGAAAACATCAGACAAACCCAAACTGAGGGGCACCCTACAAGCTATCTGGCTAGTACTCTTCAAAAGTGTCACGGTCATGAAAAACAAGCAAAGACTAAGAAACCACTATAGACCAGAGGGAACACTAAATTCTATGTGGAATCCTAACAGGGTCCTAGAACAAAAATAAAGGACATTCGTGGGAAAACTGGTGAAATCCAAATAAATTCTAGAGCTTAGTTACCAGCAATATATCAAGGTTAATGACTTAGTTCTGATAAAAGTACCGCGTTTATACAAGATGTTAAACATCAGGAAAAACTGGATGCATACATAGGAACACTATCTTATCTTTGAGACTTTTCTAGGAGTCTAGATCTTATTCCAAAATAAAAAGTTTATTTAAAAAAAAACTGCTGGAGGGGGCAGGGGAGTTCCATATTTGTATATGGATATATATATCTCTAAGGTTATATAGCAAGAACTCAACTAGAGCAGTAAGTCATTAGCGAATTAGCAATGCAAATAATGCTACACCAGCACAAACCAGCATAGCCAGTTCTGGGCTTCAAAACACCGCTCTACAGGGCTCCTGGGAAAGTACACGATGAGCCTTCATATGCTGGTGTCCAAAAGTGTAAGGAAATAAAAAACAAAACAAAGGAACATGGCATGGGGTGGGGGAGCGGACTATGGGGGGAGGCGGGCAAACAGACACAGCTAGAGCGCACACTGCTCGTTACCACAGAAGGAGTGGGGGGATGGGTGAAATAGCTGATGGGGGTCAAGGGCACCTGCTGTGATGAGCACGGCCTGTTGTACGTAGTGTTCAATCCCTAAATTCTACACCTAAACTTAATAGTACACTGTATGTTACACTGGAATTTAAATACAAACTTAGCTAAAACAAATGTGTAAGGAAGTACTCAAAAATGGGAACCATCAAAAGGACAGAGGAACTAATTTGAACAGTTTCCCACTGGCCAAATTTGGGACAATTTAAGCAATAAAATAAATACTAGTAATGGATCATCACTCGTTCAGATATAAATGAATGAATGAATGAATGAATGAATGAATGAGAAAGGTCTTCCTTAAAGTAAACTCCCAACTAATAAATGAAAAGGGAATTATATGGAGGCGCCTGGGTGGCTCAGTAGGTTAAGCGTCCGGCTCAGGTCATGATTTCATAGTTTGTGGGTTTGAGCCCCGCATCGGGCTCTGTGCTGACAGCCAGCTCAGAGCCTGGAGCCTGTTTCAGTCTGTGACTCCCTCTCTCTCTGACCCTCCCCTGTTCACATTGTCTCTTTCTCTCTCTCAGAAATAAATAAAACATTAAAAAATAATAATGATAAAATTTTTTTAAAAAAGGGAATTATACGGAAATAGGAAATCACCACTGGGCAGACATCTCAGTAGTAATTTTTCCAGGCAAGAATAGTGAATACATATAAAATTAGTAGGCAAAACATATTCTGAAAAATAGGATACTTATGTGGTCTCAAATATCTACCTATAAAATATTAATTAAAAAGGGGAAAACCGTCACTTTACAGTGGAGAAATCTGATGGGCAACACCCTAATCAAGTGACCAAAGACAGTACTGCCAGCAGTGAAACCCATCAACAGAGGGAGCTCCTGATGTGACGCATTAAGGATGTGACATCACTCCGGGGCGCCTGGGTGACTTAGTCGGTTAAGCGTCCGACTTTCGCTTGGGTCATGATCTTGCGGTTCGTGGGTTCGAGCCCCGCGTCGGGCTCTGTGCTGACTGCCAGCTCAGAGCCTGGAGCCTGTTTCAGTCTGTGACTCCCTCTCTCTCTGACCCTCCCCTGCTCATGCTGTCTCTCTCTCTCTCCTAGAAATAAAAAAAAA